ACACATAGCAATAATTTTACACAAAATAATAACAATAATAACATCTGATATAAAATTCCACCTGGGGTTTGTTTTCATTTTCACATCTTTTCTCTCAATAATCCACAAAATATGAAACTAAATATTTGTCATTTTGATTTATTATGGAGCGTTAAAAAAAATAAATCTGGGAGGAATATAAATGATTTATTTTACTCCAAATTCACATTTTTCATACATTACAGTCGTGATATATTCAGTTTCAAGAGGACGTTTATCACAATTATTTTTTTTTTTCTGTAGCTTTTACTTTTAGCTCTAATTATGGCTCAAAAAAGTCTGTGTTGACAAGTGGCTCCTAAACTTTTTTCTGCAGCGCCCCCCTTTGGAGACTATAAAACAATTTAAAAAAAACGTATTCTTATGTCACAAATATATATTAAAAAAATATATTAAAATTGAAACTTATTGATTTGGAGAGAAAAAAAAATTTAATTTATTTTACTAGTCAACACATGTCACTGTAAAAGTCACGTATTTTAATTAAACTGTTCTTAATTAATTCTAGGTTTTTGGCAGAAATTAAAGAAAAAAAAACAGGAAAAAAGAACCAAAAGAAAAAAGGTCTGAATAAATGAACCAAAAAACACTGAACGTGAATGGATCAAAGAACTGTTTGATCTTACCTGAACGGACTTAAACCTGCCTTTAAACTAGAATCAGAACTCATTCAAAGACATCGTTAGTCATTTCACAGCAAACCTGCCACAAACCAGGAAGGAAACGTTAGTCGTCTCCGAAACAGGAAGTCTCTTATTTTGTAGGATTTCATGCACACATGCAGCAGCTCTCGAACCACAGAGAACGTCACGAAAGCTGTGAATTTGACAATCAACACCAACTGAACCACGTTCACATTTGTTCTTTATTTGCTTTATTTCTTTATTATTCTTTAATGGTCTCACAAAAATAGAAGGAGAACACGGTAACCACAGCTCTGACGCAGGTTTGGGCCGGAACAGGAGAGAACGCTCAGGGGCATCACATCTCATCAGGGGTTGGTTTGGGGGTTTTTTTTTTTTTTTTGGCAAAAACAACAAAGAAGAGAGGGGAAGGGGGCGCTGTTGTTTCACATGGAGGACGAGTCTCATTGATCGGATTTTACCCATGACGACGGC